TAAGAGGAAGGAATACAATATGGATAATCGGGTCCCGCTCTAAACGTTCGAATTATCGGAAAATCGAATTAAAGGGGGTCGAATTATAGGCAGTTGACTGTACGCATTTTTGATGTCTTCTGCAGTAGCACCTGGACATTTGTTGATATAGTCAATAGTAAATTGAACAGGCACTAGTGAACTCATGTTGTCAAGTATGAGAATGATAACAAAAGAGTCGCGATCTAGCCCACCCAACTCAGCCCTGTTACTTACACAAACATGTGATACTTCTCCGTATTGAAGCGCCGAATCAACTATAGTTACTTATTATTTCGCAACGCGTTATTTTCTAGTTAAGACCCCAACCTACAGACTACCGAATTAATCCACCGGTAGAGAGTAGTTTCTCGAGAATAATTAATTATCTAGGATTAGTGTGTGCCACACGTATACGAATACGTCAGCATTGAAAAGCCTAATTAACTGTTTGTTACTCGCTGAGGTGAGCCACACTCCTACGACGGCGCGCAGCTAGATCCCAAACCGTTATCCGCTCTCCCGTGACTATTGCCTCGACACCCATAGTTTCTAAAACGAATACAAGTTTTGCTGGTCATGAATTGTGTCAGATTTGTAGTACTTGGGGCACAGCGAACAAAAATTATCGTATTATTATTATTATTTCTTACTCGAACAGTATATAACGAATCATGGAAATTTGTCCTCGATTATAAAGAAACAGATATTTTGTTTTATGTTTCTAGCTTTCGTTTCTTTCTTGGTTCATCATGTGGTGTTAATGCTCGTTTATTAGTTATGATTTTCCGTTCTTCTTGGTAAATTTCATAAGTTATTTTTTCTTGATCTAGATATTCCTGGAGAGTTCAGGTATCATTCATTTTAAAAACATAAGGCGCAATTTTTTCTCCTTGCTCTTTCTTTAAAATACTTCTAATAGTGCTGTAATTCTTGGGTTCCATAGTGGATTTAATGTAAATTAGTTTCATATTATATTTTTATATAATTATAGAAATAATCCTATATTAATCCTGTTATGGTTTATAATCATCCCATTTTGGTATGATAAAGGGAACATTAAAATTAACAGGTCATAAGTTATGAATGAGCACCATTTATCATTATTACTTTCCAAAACGTCATCATTCACCCTGGTCAATTTTACAATCACATCATAATCAGCCCTCATTTATAGAATGTTCACTTTGTCTGGTTTTGTTGCAGTCTGCCCCATATCCTCGATTCACAAGTTGCTTATATACAATAAGTATGATAAATCTTTTCCAATTATTCAAAAAATCTGTACCCGGAATTAACAACGTTACAAGGCCGTTTCTCTACTAAATAGTATTGTCTCGTTGACTATAAACGAAAAATTCTTCTAAGACTTTATTCCGGCAATTTCTAAAAGCAATAACCGGATTTTTCTTTCAATTAATCAAAGTTTTCGCCTTTCAGCATATTTCGATCACATCACGATTTGTTTTTCTAAATAATCTTATTATCTTTTTATGTCCAAGTTATGGAATGAAGTAAAATTACGATGGCATCAATTAATGTGAATAACAAATTTTGATTCACCTTAATTTGTCTCCCATTTATTAATATAAATGCGTTCTTCCATAATAAACCTAATTTTGCAGCCTTCAATATTTTCACAAATTAATATTCCCCAGCAAATAGTTAAAATAACGATAGTTCATGTTCGTGAGTCTACCTTTTTCCTGAATTAACATATTATGGGTAGCAAAAAATGCGAAGAGGAGAATAGTCACTTTTAAACAAAGCATTAGATTATTGCGACTCTTCAAGTAATTCGAAAGCATACACTTTTAACCTTCAGCTTGTTTGATAGTTATTCAATATAAGTAGCAGCCTCATTTCCTTTGCCTATCCAGCCATCATTTGTTTGTTCATCATCATTATTCATGACATCAGAAATTTGTTTGCATTCTTAGTTATTCATTCATATGACGTCAAAAATGGTGAAAATCCATGTTGGCTAATAGCTTTCAGCCTCGGCAAAAGCGGAATAGTGTGTCGCCGAATTCTATTCGACGCACCTCGACTATTCTGTGTTACCATTACTAATATAGGCGGATGTATTTTTTTTCCGTCGCCGATGGTCATAATAGTAAATTATTTTATGTCGCTTTATCAATGACAGTTGAAGCCATCGTGTAAATTTGATGAACTCTATGTTGCATAAAAATGTCAACCAATACAACCAAATTTGGCGATAGGGAAATTTTTAATTTTATGAATAGATCGTCCTACATAGTATTATTCTAGGCCAGCTGACTTCTCGATAACACGTGAGTGGACATTAATTGCTGTGTTGATCTAACTAATGAAGCTTATTTCTGATCGTATGATTCTAATAACGTGTTCCAATGACATCGTATGATTTCAGTGCGGTGATGATTTAAAAGTATTGGATATTAATTACCATACGAGTTGTGATCGACCAGTTAAAATAAAAGGAAATCTGTTACTATTACGTATCACGTAAAATCACGTGCCAGACGAATAAAGCAATCTCGGGGGTTCCTGCAAAACGGTTGATCTGCGTACAAGGAATGATTATTACGCCCGAATACGGCGGACTCGGCGTGCGTCATTGATCTTCGTATCACCTCTCATGTTCGGTTTTTCGGATCTGTGCACTACTTGTGGAAATTTCCAGAAATTACGAGTGATAACCAGAGAAATCAATTAAGCATTATAAATTGAGGCGTGCGTGTCTTTTTCAATCATTTTCACTTTTACAACTTTACAAGATTTTCACACATAATTAACGTAATTTATAACGCAATTTGACAAACGACGAACTCGCTGATATGGAACAACAACCACCATCACAACAACAACCACAACAACCACAACAACCCCAGCAACCACCACCACCACAACAACAACAACAACCACAACAACCCCAGCAACCACAACAACAACAACAACCACAGCCACAGCCGGATTTCACCTTTCTGCCATTTGTTTCCTTCCTCCCACCTACTTTCCCTTTTCCAGTGTTCGAAGGACAGCCTCCAAGTCCACAAAATCAGGCAAACGGACAAAATGCCCAATTCCAACAGGCGGGTATACCCCAATTTCCTCTGCCGAACATCCCTCTCCAGCCGGGAGAGGCGCCTTCTTCACCATTCATTCAATTTATGGTCTATACAGTACCTAGTGCAAATACCAACGACAACCCGCCGACACCAATAATAATATTCACTCAACCTTTCTTCCCAATGGGACCACCACAAAAGCCACGGGCATCGGAAAGTGCAATGAAAGCGCTCCCGATCGTGAAAATAACCGATGAACACACCGGGTCTCAAGCTACGTGTCCGATCTGTCTCGATCAGTTTATGGTCGAATCGGTAGTGAGACAGTTACCATGCCAGCATATGTACTGCGAAGAGTGTATATTTGAATGGCTGAGGGTGAATAATACATGTCCTATGTGTAGGAAGGGGATCGAATCTGAGGAGGAAGAGAAAGCTCGACTACAAAGAGACGCTGCTAACAATAACCGTGACAATGGCAACATCCATGGTCATAGTCACATTAACAATTCTACTACGCAATCAACTACGCCGGTTTCTGACCAACGTTACACATTTTCTATGTCGAATTTGCAGCACAATCCGTCACTTCCTCATCATCATCATTCTGAATCTACAAACTGTGCGTTTGCAGGCATTGGTTGCTGTGGCGAAACGGACACTGGTGCATGTACTTCGACTATAGCACTACCGCAATGTCATCATCGATTCCACGCATCATGTTTGAGAACGAATCTACTGGTGGAGGGATATTCATTGGATTCGTCGAGGCTTGATTTTCGATGCCCCATGTGCAGAACTAACGCTTCGGTAGAGACTGAGGCATTGAAGTTGAATAGTGCGATGTAAGAAATGGAAAGGGGAAATGGTAGACAACATGGACTATTTACAATAACATTATTGTGTGAACTTTTTTGTTACTAGAATGTTGTAACTTTAGTCTGTATATGGTTTATTGTTATAGGCGATAGACAGTATACTATAGTGACTAAAACATACACATGACGTTAATCGTAAACGAAACACTCAGTCGAGTGTTTTAGAGACTTTTTTGTAATTATTATTATTATTACTATTACTATATTGTTACTTGTTATGATGCACTGAATTGTACAGAATTAATGAAAAGTGCGAATAAACAATACCATGTTGTGTATAGAATTCAGTAAATTTTCGTGCAGCATAGTAACTACTGATAAATGAGACACGTAGAATTCCAAACATCTCCTTTATTATTTTAATCCGCCGAATAATCTTCGAAAGATTATAAATACCGGGTCTATCAATCAAAAAGTTAGCCATGTATATAGCAACCTCTTCTCTATCATCTCCACCCTATTATCATCATTCAAATATTATGCAACATTATGATTGTCATTTTACTTTTGCTCTCGTTGCTTCAGTATCCAGCAGCACCTGGCGCATTCTCGTCACTCTTCAGACTTAGCAACAACTCTTTAAACCTTGTAACATCCTTTTGATTTATGAATGGCGTTTTGCTCTGCGCACTGGTGAGCCCGAGAATTTTACATGCTCGCTCCCATGTAGTGCCTGACGCAAGCCTTTCGCGTTCTGCTAGGAATTCCGCCTCATCGATTCTAAATAAGTGATAGGCCAGTTGTTAAAGAATACAATTTATAAGAGCGAAACAAACAAACAAGCAAACAGAAATCGCGTTGAATAGTTAATTACTCGTTCTGCTTTAGTATGTTGACTTTTTTGGCATTGTAATCTTCATAGAATCGATCTATGTCCGCATGTGCTTGTTCGATTGTCTTCTCACGCTTTTCCCTATTACGCTCTTCGCGTTCATCGATTGTTTGCTGGGCACGCTCCCGCCATTCACTAGAATGTCAAAACGATTAGTACATGAGAATTTATCAATGAAAATAGCGAGACTTGCCAAATTTGATAAATATGAGTAAACTAACTTTAAAACCTCAGTCGCTTCTTCCAATTCCTCTTCTTCTTGTTGTGGCTGATAGAAAGAAGCAGTTTCGATCATCGTACCCGAATACGTAGACTGTAAAAATATACGTGATCCCCATGCAGAAAATACAGTATACATTACATAACGTATATTATGGACGCAATTTTAAGGGATCTTACGATCACACTGCTCAACTAACCGTAATGTCACTTATCCCGGAAACTGGTGGAAACTCATTACCAAGCCCCAATCCAATACCAATGCTTGGTGTCACATTCAACGTTGTTGGGTCAACATCTCCAGTACTAAGATCAGGGAATCTCTCAAGTTCATTTGCAGACCCGTTGATTCCACCGAACCGTGCGGCATCCTCACCCAGAATAGCTTGTTCTCTAGCAAGAAAGTCACTTGTAGAGTCGTCAGCGAGACTGGTTGTTGTTGTGGAGGTGGGGAATTCTTCAATAGGTGGGAACTCGGTGGTCATTGCGGCAGGATTGAAATTCTTTCCTTTGCTAAATTTTATTTGAGCCACGATCGCCATGAAACAGATCTCCTATCACGTGATCCAAGATTATTCTCGTGTACCATCACACAAAGCTTTATGACGTAGCGATAGCGTAACTGTAAAAAGAATCATTGGAGCAACAATCAATGAAGCATTCCGTGTTGTAGTCTAGTAGATTATTCACGGTGATGATTACAAAAGTTTTCCTGAGTTCTACCAATAATAATAAAGTCATTTCTATTTACTAATTGAAGCCAAGTTTTGAAGGCACGAACATTTGATTTGTTATACAGTCCATCCTCATCCAAACCCTGTCTTAGAGACTTGTAAAGGGACTTTGAAGCCAACTCGTTTTGGACTTCAATGAAAGTTATTATTAGTTTGACCAACCCAATTTGTAAAACAGCATGCTTCTTTTCGCTACGATGTTATCATGAAGCCCGTGCTCTGCAATCAAAGTTATTTATTTTGCATCATGTGATTGCGATAAAATGCGATGAATCTATCAAAAAAGTTGCTTCTGGACTGCAGTCAGCATCGCATGTTCATACATACTCGATTAGCACGTAAGATGAGGAAGTCGGGGTTTTCTTTCTAATTCAGAACTTTTGGCCTGATGGATATGGCAACACTGCTCTACATTACGCTATCTTTTGGCACGTAATATATCGTTAATGATTGCAAATCTCTCATTTTATCGTATGCTTCAGTTGACATTCTTTTAAAGCTTACTCGACACGACAAATTCTAAATGTAATACTATGATACGTTGACGCATACCATTACTTATAAGCACAGTAGAGTAAAAGTATAAATCTGCTAGCACGCGTAATCGTGTCATCATAAGCTCAGACTTCAAGATTTGCATACAGGCTTGTTTGCATTCATTTAAATGATTTCGTAATCATATGTTTACGCCATTCTAAATTACCATTGGCAGTATTAAGGGAAACACAATGCAGCTACTTATCTTGATTAAATTATGTCACACTGGGTTATGGTAAATACACATTATATTAGAAATGAGTAATTCTTGCAGTGGCGAGCTGAAATACTTTGCGAAATTTGTTGTCACATGATACGTAGTCTGCTGTTTGTCGCACAATTAAAATTTACTTGACAGTTGCATTATTATCATCATCGATAGTAACTTTTATTCACGAGATTGCAAAATTATTGGGTCTTTTCACTCCCACCCCCCTTACCGAAACCAAAAATACCTCGGATTTGTTGATTCAGACTTGTGTGTTCAAATCGAAAGGTATTATTAGTGGAGGAATATGTGGCGTTCAGCATATACCCCATATTTAAATGCCTGAACGTAAAAAGGTTCCTTTAACCTTTTTCTATCCATCATCACTTGGAACAAGCGTCTACAACTATGGTTTATGTCTCACCGCAAGGACTGCGACGGATACCATTATTGGACGCTACTACGTTCCATGATCTGAAACAGTTTGCTTTTAAACATCATGAGTCAGTTAAGCAGGTGGAAGACAGAGTAGTTGTATATAAGTTAAAACTTGAAGACGATGGATCACTCGGCCATGATAAGAAGGTACTTCATACAACTTCATTGGCCGCTGTATTATGCGTATTTTGTATCTTGATCTGATAATCGACAATTTTGTACATCAGTATATCAGACTCCCTCCACCTGAGAAACCATACATCCTTCGACTCAATCTGAAATCTGGATCACCAGTTTCTCATAATACTACATTCTACACGAATTATCCGATTGATGGGTATGTCACGAATTCGTGTCATTTTGTTGTACCGATATTTTCACAGACAATTGGCCTATTGATTAATACAGATCCCAGTATGAGGGAAAGAAATTCCATTCTATCAAGTAAGTAAAATTGAAACATAGATTAGAGCAGTTTGATTATACCGTGGCGAAATTTGCGTAGAATTTTTAGAAATTAAAATGAAGCTGTTGGCACTTGGCAAATAATCATCATCATCATCATAGTCGTTTATATACTTTTTTCTTTCATTAATATCTTCACGTTATTTTGTTAAATCTGCTAGATCATTAACAGGCTTCACCAGAACAGTTAACTTTGACATTGCAATAAAACAATCGGGATCATTTGAGTTTTATTTCGAATACACCTTGCCTGCGCAAAATCCGGGCGAGAAGTCTCAAAACACAAGAAAGTCACCTCATGGCTACTTCTCAGTCGACCCTATCCTCCACGTCATGTCACGTCCACGTATTCTGTCCCCTGACAAGACATCTGATGGACCCACCGTATCGCTTCCAATTGACGGTATCGTTATTCAGACCGTCCTTCCTAAACTCCTCGGTCCAATCTCACGATGGGAGCCTTTAATTAAATCCATCTCTGACTTGGGATATAACATGGTTCATTTTGTGCCCATGCAAGTGAGAGGAAATAGTGACTCTCCGTTTTCTATTTACAATCAGTTGGAGTTTTCCAACGATCTGTTTGACGAGCAAGATCAACATAAAAGCGTTGAGGAAAAGAATGAAATTGTATCTAATATATTGAAGAAAATGGAAAACGAATACGGCGTGTTAAGTTTGACTGATGTGGTATGGAATCATACTGCACATAATTGTCAATGGCTGAAAGAACATCCCGAAGCAGGTAGGAAATGGGAGGGGAAGACATACACGCACGCGTAACAACATGTATACATATGGTTGTAGCTGCTTGTTTGTGAGAATGGTTATCCGCTCATGTGCTGTCCTTCTTTATCTACGAGTTTACAAATTGATTCATTAACAATATTATGCAGCATATAATGTACATAACTCTCCCCATCTAAGCGCTGCGTATGAACTTGACACGGCTCTCCTTCACTACTCTGAAAATCTTAAATCTTACAATTTACCTACTCGCATCAACTCGGAGAAGGACATCGACGCCATCATAAACGGCATCAAAACTCACGTCCTACCCAAACTACGGCTATGGGAATTCTATACAATTGACGTAAAGGCCTCTATAGAAGAATTGCGTAAAGCACTGGAAAACGATGAAGAAACAGACGATACGCTCTTCAAAGAGTTTGATGTCGCTTGTCTCAATCTTGGTGACCAAGGCCGCCTTCTATCCAAAGCGCTCGAACCTAAATCTTTTGGGCCTCGCCATTATCGAAAAATTCGTAAATCTGTTGCTTTAGCGTTTGTTAAGAAATGGCGCGACACAAAGGTAAAGGCTGCCATGTTAGAAGCTATTGCAAAAGCTAAGGGCGAGGCTGAGGAGCGATTAAAGGCAGCTGTGCTCGCACGCACTATGGCTGAGACCAAAGCCGCCAAAAACGGTGTGTCTGATGTTACTGGAAACAAGACGATTCCCGCCGAAAAAGAAGCTGGAGCGCGTGCTGAGGTTGAGAATTACACAAAGGCTAAAGATTACGTCAAAGCTAGGTTTAAGGCTCTGGCGACGGCTAATGAGAATAATGAAAGGCTTAATCAGAAGGATGCGATGGAAAAGGAAAACAAAAGCACTGAGGATATCACGTCAACTACTGTTGGAAGAGCAATGTCTAGGAGCACAAGTTTTGCAATTGATGACGATAGTGAGGATAATGAGATAATTAGGAATCTTCCCATTCCGGCAGTTGACACCATCAGACCAAGTATCGATGATATATTCAGGCATTACGAAGCCATATTGAATGAGATTAATCTACCATTCTACAAAACATATGACAAAGACGTCGGAGTTATTTTGAATAATGTGCGTAATAGGTTGAAATATTTACGACTCGACGCACACGGACCCAAATTAGGAGAAATTACCAAGAAGTAAGTTTCCATGAGAGGAAAGACATCTATGTATGTACCATACATTCCTAACAGTATTAGTAACCACTTTATTATCTGGATTTTTTTTTTGCAGATCTCCTTTTATCGAGACATATTTCACTCGTCTTAGAGCCGAAGACGTTGGCAGTAACCATCGCGCTGAGGAGTTGGCAGTGGCTAACAATGGCTGGATATGGAACGCAAATCCACTTATTGACTTTGCAAGTGCAGACTCTAACGCTTATTTAAGGCGAGAAGTCATAGTGTGGGGAGATTGTGTCAAACTGCGTTACGGTAAAAGTCGAGTAAGTATTTTAGCGGACTTTCCCCTGGGCAAATGAAGGGAGTACTACAATAGCATTTGCGAATCCTCAAATTGCCATTATTCTATGTAGGATGATAATCCATGGCTATGGGACCACATGACCAAATACACAACAAATCTAGCAAAGATGTTTCATGGTTTTCGAATTGATAATTGTCACTCTACTCCAATCCACGTTGCCAAGCACTTGCTTGACGCAGCGCGACGTGTCCGTCCCAACCTGTATGTCGTTGCCGAGTTGTTTACTGGGTCTGGCGATCTGGATATTCGATTTGTGAGAGAACTTGGTATTAACTCTTTGATCCGTGAATCCCTGAAGGCATGGGATTCTCCAGAAATGGCTCGTTTGATCCATGAATATGGAGGAAAATATATAGGTACGTTAATAAAACGGAAAGTTAGGGAAGAAGGGAAGAGGTCATGCAACCAGTTAACGTATTATTTTTACCATCATAGGTTCTATGAGCAAGAAATGTATTTCAGAGGAATCAGTCTGTACTTCTCCCGATGGTCAACAAAATGCTTCATGCATAATCGTACCAATAGTGGGGTCTAAACCTCATGCTTTGCTGATGGATTGCACGCATGACAACGAAACTCCTCATCAAATTAGAACTGCCGAAGACACTCTTCCTAATTCTGCTCTCACCACTATGGCATCCTGTGCTGTGGGAAGTGTTAGAGGATATGATGAAATAAATCCATATCTTATTAACCTCGCGACTGAGAAACGGCTGTATAAAATTTATGAGAATCCAGTCGAGGTTGGAATTGGGAAAGGTAAGTTTCAATTTGTGATCGGATGCATGGAAATTTAGATATTGTGATTAATTACGCGATGCCTGTTCTGTATGATTACAGTCAAAAGGATTCTTCAACATTTACACACCGAGATGGCAATTGATGACTTTTCCGAAACATACCTGCATCAGGAGAAAGATGTAAGCAGACTCTCATGCTTACTATGTCAATCGAATCGGTGCTTGCATAATCATTTATTCCATTCCTTCTTTCCAAAAAGTACATAATAATCCATCGTGTTCACCCCCGTTCTTATTACGGTTACTTGCTAGTCGCTCGGAGCGCCTTCTCCGGTAACGCAAACCCCAAAAGTGATCGTATGTGTTACATTCCCACGATAATATATACTCTTATTATTCCCCCGCACACGTGAAATTCATATTTTTAACATTTTTCATATATCAGTCTCGCCATTCAAACTCCGGGGCGCTTCTGCCGAACTTGAGCAATTATTCTCAGCACAGCTAGAAATCAATTCCCGCACTGCTCTCACGGAAAACGGATTACTCAACGGTCTGCCGGCCACTATTAAAAAGCTCCATTCGCCTATTGTGAGGAAGCTGTCTGACATACATGGTCCATACATTGAATTTATTTTACCGGCCGTATTTCCACCGGGTAGTGTAATTTTGTTGAGAACAGCTATGGACGATAAACTAGAAAACCTAGAAGACTTTATTAGATCAGGGGCTGATGAAGCGTTTAAACATTTGGACTTGGTTGATTTGAACATTGCACTATATAGATGCAGCGGAGAAGAGCGAGACGTTACACCTGGTCACGGGTCATATACAGTGCCTGGTCATGGGGAACTACCTTATTGCGGGATTGCTGGGTTCATGTCCGTAACTGAGCCGATCTTGAAATACAACAATTTGGGACATCCGTTCTGTAACAATCTGAGAGAGGGTCATTGGGCACTGAATTATGTTGTGGCAAGACTGGATAGGTTAGTAGATACAAATATTTTCCATGATAATTATTGGAAACTGTGCCGTTATACATTTTATTTCTAATTCATTTCATTTATTATCCTTGCAGGCATCTTTCATTAGCGCCTAATCTCAAGCCTTTACGCGAATGGTTTGACGAACGCTTTGCGGCAATTAAATCAGTTCCCAACTTTCTCGTTCCCAAATACTTTGCAATTGTCATAAAGACAGCGTACGATGCGGCACGTAAACGGGCCATCGAGCAATTCTCTCCATTCGTGCAAGAGGGCGGCTTGTTTATCCAATCGCTAGCGCTAACGTCCGTCCAAATGTACGGAGTTGTCCATTCCACCGCGTTACATCCGGTCGAGGGAGGTCCGTCGATGGCGGCAGGGCTCCCTCACTTCACTTTCAGACACATGAGAGTATGGGGACGTGATGTATTTATTTCGTTAAGAGGATTATTTCTCACCACTGGCAACTACGAAGCAGCTAAAAGACATATTATTGCCTTTGGTGGCGTAGTAAAGAATGGGTTGGTTCCTAACCTGCTTGACGCGGGTAGATTCCCTAGATATAACTGCCGTGATGCCGTTTGGTGGTATTTACAATCAATTCAGGATTATTGCACATTCAGTCCGGATAATATAGGATTCCTCAAAGAACGTGTGCAACGTCGTTTCCCTGAAGATGTGGACTTTGTTGTCCACGATCACCCGAGTGCCTACAGCTATTCTAGCACGATTACAGACATAATTCAAGAGATTTTAGAATCTCATGCTAAAGGCATTCACTTCAGAGAATGGAACGCTGGGCCCGATTTAGATACCTTTATGAAAGATGAAGGTTTTCAAATTGATATAGACGTTGACTGGGATACCGGATTTATCTATGGTGGAAATGAATGGAACTGTGGTACATGGATGGACAAGATGGGCGAATCTGCCAATGCTGGTAATTTGGGTATACCGTCTACTCCGCGTGACGGTGCTGCTATCGAAATAATTGGATTGCTAAAGTCTGCCTTACGATGGGTGTCTCAACTGTATGACAAAGGGCTTTATCCATATGAAGGCGTTAATGTCGATGGTAATTATAAACGTTTGAGAGACCTGCTTCTGCGATATGCGTTGATCTCATGATTTTCTATCTATAACAGTCAAGGGGGAGAAGAAATTTATAAAATTCAAGGAATGGGGAGATCTGATCCAGAAGTCTTTTGAAAAGTATTTTTATATTCCAAAAGGTAAAATTGCTATGAAGAATGATGACTTGATATAACTGTGACTAACGATCCTGCCGGCTATGTTTATAGATTCGGCATTCGATTCTCAACACGTAATAAACTCTAAGCTAGTAAATCGCCGGGGCATATATAAGGATACTTACAGATCGTCCAAAGAATATGCTGACTATCAATTAAGACCCAACTTCCCTGTCGCTATGGTTACGGTATGTGAACAATGTGTTTTATTTTTGAATATAATGCATTTCATACTAAGTGATGTTGTTAGGCTCCCGAACTGTTTGACGAGCAACATGCAATGGAGGCATTGCGCATCGCCAAAGAAGTGCTTGCTGGCCCGTTGGGAATGCGTACTCTAGATCCTACTGATTGGGCTTATCGTGGTGTCTACGACAATAGCAATGACGGAACCGACAAATCCATTGCTAAAGGATGGAATTATCACCAGGGACCAGTAAGTGTAATTATTTTGCTGGATAGACTTGGCAAGTTTCATACGTCTGATCATACAATTAATTATGCGTAGGAATGGTTATGGTGTACTGGAGTTTTCCTTCGAGCTTATTTATATTTCGACACTCGCGCTGGTGCCGGAAAGGATAACGTAAGTGATGGTAACACGAATTATAATTACCAATAATCATACGTGTTCGCTGACAAGCGTTTCATCGTAAATGACCAACTACAGATCCACGAAACTATCTACACAATCGTTCACCATCTCCTTCCGCATCGTAAAACAATCGAAACTAGTCCGTGGGGCGGTCTACCTGAATTAACTAACAAGGACGGTGCTGAATGTCACCATGCATGTCCAACACAAGCATGGTCGTCAGCCGCAATTCTTGATTTACTTTACGATATTAGAAAATCGGGAACTCCGATAACGATTGAGTAATTGAAAAAATCAACTGTTGGGACATGGATATTGAAATTTTATATTATATTATTGGATGATATTGTCATATCGTACACCGGACAGTACGAGTATTGAATTGACTTTATCACCGTGTAAGAATAAATTTATTATTTGATTTTTTTTTGTCGATATTTTCACTCGTAATTTATAGCGGTTGACTGCAAAATAGTAATGTCTGGAAGTTTGCAATATAGCAAAGCAATAGCTACCCGAGTAGATTGGGAATTCGATAGACAATCAAAACAAGACTCACGATCTTTCTTGACAAGTCACGGCCTGCTCAATATATGAATTCAAATTTGTTAGAGCTAGGCTGTTACAATTCTATATTGTAATGATCTAGCCAGTTTTATAGACATCTATTTTTAGAATCGCAGAAATTTTACTGCGTTTCAAACCATTCATACACGCTATTTGCTCCAAGGCGTGACTGAAAAGTATCCAACAACAGTTATTTAAACTCTATTTGTGCAAGATGTGCCGAATAGAAGGTTGTTTTGACTAGCCAATTCATCGTCCAAGCGTTGAAATCAATATCCTGTAACGAAAGCCGAGATGTGCAGGATAGAAGGATGGTTTAATTCACCGTCAGGACATAGTAATAGCTAACAATGTTGACCCTGAATTATTATCACATGATTTAAACGATGTAATCATAATAGTAATAATAATAATTGAACAAGAATCTTTCTATATTTAATATAATACAAGTATAGCGTTCAGCGAGACTGTTCAAACAGCGTTTCAGCATACAGCCAACACTGTTAATACATCAACATAAGATCAACATGTTGCTAACGGAAATGCCCCAAGAAGTTCTCCTATCGATAATAGCAGTGGCGAAATTTGAAAACAAAGATCTCCTTCACCTAAGTCTCTCCTGTCGTGAGTGGGCACTAATTGCCTTGCCAGCATTATGGAAAGCACGCGATTTCAAACGTCGCTCCGACTTTGACAAATTCAAACAAGCCATCTTGTCGTCCAAAATCCTCTATCCTTATGGTGAATATGTACAAAGACTTCAAATAGCGGAACTCGAATTAGAACCACCACTCTTCTTCGATGAGGAAATGATCCATTTCATTGCAGATCAGTGTCCAAACCTCAACGTTCTTGACCTTCGCTTTTCGTCAAAACCACACGCAAACAAAACGCGACATTTACCGTTACATCTTCTGAGCGATCGATTGACGTCATTAAAAATGATTGCGTATGAGAATAATGATACAGAGACCGATGAAGACAAGGATTCAGACAATAAAACGAACAATTTAGATGCGCTTTGTGAATGTGTGAAATCGTTAAGGATTCGTGACGTTTCTTTGACGCACCCGAGGATCACTAAGCCCGAGTTGTGGGACGTGTTTGCAAGGAATAGTGGAGAGTCTCTTGAGCATATTAAGCTCTTCTTGAGGAATGAAGAAGTAGAGAGCAATGGCCGCGTGTTTAATTCTTCCATCATTGTTGAGGCAATAGCAAAGTACTGTAGTAATCTGCGTACCTTTGTTTTTGAACCACATAATTGTGCGCGCGTGTCGATGACGGCTCTTTTAAATTTACTAACCAACTGTCCTAAGCTTACCTCACTGCATATCAACATTACAAGTGAAGGCGTGACAATACTTCACAACTCTACGTCGCTTGTGAAGGTCCATATCTCCTCTCCGGTTGAGGGTAAAGATCTGAGTCAAATCAGCAGAATGGAGAGCTTGTGTCATTTGGAATTGTCTACGATTGCCGATGGCTGTGATTTCAAGTTTCTGAATCAGTTACCCAATCTGACGTATCTTGAATTTGGCGAATTCAGGCAATTGACTGATGATTCTATCAGCAACATTATTTCCCATCCGCGCATATCTGAACTACGGATAGCAAAGGTGCCACAAGTTACCGACAAACATTTATTAATGTTGGCATCGATGCCTACTCTAGTCAAACTTACATTCGACCAAGACATTGAACATGTTACGCGGGAGGGGTGGTTATCTCTTGCTAAACGACCGCCCGATTGTCCATCCTGGCTTAAATTAGATATAAGTGATGGGCGGTTGATGGACTCTGAGTTCTTTGAGTTGATAGAGAAGGGGCATCCTCAACTCAGATCGTTAAGTGTGAAGAAACTCGATAGAAACTTGTTCAATGATGATGATAAGACGTTCGATAGTCCCAAATTCAAAGAATCATGGACCGAGTGCAGGAACATCACTACTTCGGGGGGGTTCTGGTGGCCTCCCAGGAAATCAGGGAGGTCGGCTCATAAGTCCAAATTATTCGGCATTGGCATTAGTTGATTTACGAGTCTTAAAATCAAATAGGGCGGGAAATGGGAAGACATGTACTATTAATCACTAGAGATTCACGGAAAAGCAATGAGTAGCGGGTATTTTAGAGAATGTCACGTGGAGTAGTCCCTTTATTAATTTGTATCAACGTAACGTTCAAATTCACAAGACTATACAACATTGAATATAATAAAGCATTATTCGATGTTTTGTAAACACGATTACATAAATAAATTAATTAATCAAAACAGTAATCATGCGAAATACAAGAGCTTTGATCCCCTGCAATATTCTATGGTTATGCTTCATCATACCCATTCGCCAATAGCTCACTGGTTTCAGGTGTAATTTATTGTATACCATGTAAAAATATTTTAATTTCATATGGTTACTGATTTCCCAACCCTATTCTATTATTATTATTCTCATGAATAAGAAATAAGGTGAAAGTGGCGATCATGTGATAAGATCTGTAATGGTTTGAAATCACCCACTTGATTATCAAACCAATAATGCCATTTATGATATATGCAGCTCGTAATTATGTAATAAACGAAAATACGAAATAACGCGGGCAAATGTTACGTGACGATTGGTGGCAGCACGAACCTAATTCGCTTGTCACATGACATAAAAGCTAGCAGTCTTAATGTTCGCGTTTTCAAATCTTTCTTCTCTCTCAACTTGATACGGCACGGTAACCTGACTTTATAAACACTTTCCTTATTATATACACGTGAAAAGTTAATATTACGACAAACACAAATAACTAGTTGCGTTCTGCAATAAACAGCCTAAATCCCCACCGTTTAACTTAGCAGCATACATATGTAATCTACACGAACACTTGGGATTTGTTTATAGCAGACGCGACCTTTCTGAACAATTTTAACCAAAACGGGTTCTCATTAGGCTGGGATACTGTTCTTTATTCAGCACAGATCTCTGGATTGGGGACTTGCTTTTGGATGAAGACATGAGTGGGATACGCAGATCGTAGAAGTGATCTCGCCAATTTTGAAGAATCTCTTCCGTGGAGAGTACCGTTTAGATTGGGGTGAGATTGGTCTTCCTTCAGCGCAATCAAGAAGTTGAATCCGGCACACGGCGGAGGACTGGTCAGCGATTCTCTCCCTGAGAAGTCTTCTTGGTCAGGAGGTGCTTGTCTGTGAAGTCAGCGGACCTCCTTACGCGAACGATCTCGAGCATTTTGGTGATGACAAACTCAAAATGCAGAAAGGCCTCAAGTATCTTCCCGTCAAAAAAAAATAATGTCGTGGCCGTTCCCCGATCGAATAATTATAATAAAGTCGCCGCCGCCCATTGTGGCTGGGCCCCCCCCGGTCGAAAAAAAAAGCCGCCCATTGTGGTTGGGCCGGTCAAAAAAAAAGCCGTCCATCGTGGCTGGCCCTTCCAGTCAAAAAAAAGCCGCCCATTGTGGCTGGCTCCCCCCCCCCCCGGTCAAAAAAAAAGCCGGCTGGCCCCCGGGGTCGAAGGTCCCCTCGAATAATAATATTATTAATGTTGTGTCATAGTAATAGTTTGTAGTTTGTTGGGGTTAGTTTTGTAGAACTCGATTTGTTGTGTGCCCTGGCTAGTTTTGTAGAGCTCATCTTTTTTGTGCCCTAACGAACTACTAATTAGATACTAGTACTGATACACTCCCCTGCCAAAATTATTTCCGGATCGGCATAATCTACTATTAATTAAAAACGAAATTCAAGTCTTTTTTCACCAACTTTTTTGTAACATTTTTTGGAAAGCCAATTATCTATAGTTTATGAAAAGATGTGAAAATTTTATTCATATTTGTTACAATGTAATATTCTGCTCTTCACCGTTAATAAATTTTCGATTGCCGATTTATAGTATAGATTATTATTATGATTATGATCGACAATCGAAGAAATGAATAACTTTCCAACTAATTCAGAAATAAAAATATTACAGTCAAAGCTCGGAAAACCGGTAAATGCCCAACTAAAACTGATAATTCCCAAAGCACGTATAACAAAATTCGCTCGGAAAACCAGTTAATACCGCGCGCATTCACGGTAATATCAAGCGAGTGCCGCGATGGAAAACTAAAATAACTATTGATCTCACTGTCGCTACCGCTGTGAAAAATTTTCTTGAAACTTATGCTGAAATTCATGGATTACCAAGTCCTGGTAGAAATGTCAATCGCATTACCCAATCGCTTACACTTTTGCCAGCTGAAACAAGTTACAAATCAGTCTATCGTAATTTTATTACAGGTCTCGAAAATGATAGCACGTTGAAATTGTTAAAGTATGATGCATTTCGCAAGTTATGGCACCAATTAACGCCTTATATTCATATTATGAGTCCACGAACGGATTTATGCGACACGTGCCAACATTTTCGGAATGGCTTGCAGTATAATGCTCGCAAGGAAGAAGAAGCAAGAGACTTACTAAAAAAATTCAAAGAACATTTAGTTAAAGCTAAGTTAGAAAAAATTATTACAACAAAAATACGAAATTAGCAGAACAGCAGAGAAAATTTGTAGATGAACATTTTATAACAAAAGGTAAAGCTGATTATTGTAGTATTGACGCGACTGCTCATTATAGTTACGATTGGGCACAAAATGTTTACGTGCCTCATTCCGATCAAAGATATATTATCTTAGTCCGCGTAAAGTGCATTTATTTGGTATTCAAGATGAGGCGGTACGCGAACAAATTAATTACGTTCTCGATAAAGACGAAATTATAGGGAAAGGACCCAATGGTACGCTGAGCATGGTATTCGATGGAATTAAGCGACTGAATAAAGGTGAGAAACATTTAAAAATCACTTGCAATAATGCGAGAGGACAGAATAAAAATAATGCTACCATTTGATTTTATCTGTATTTGGTAATTTGCGGTTATTATGAAAGTATCGGATTAAATTTTATGGTACCTGGGCATACTAAATTCAAATGTGCCGGTAGTTTTGGATTGATTAAAAAGCTTTATCGAAAAACGACCGTAGATTGCGTGGGTCATATTGTTGAGGTTGTGAAAAAATCAAGTACAGCCGGATTAAACAAAGCTCGGTGCTATGAAAACGGCAAAGGTTTTCAATACTTAGATCTTAATTCCGTGTTGGAAATTTTCTTTAAAAAACTAAATGGTTTACAAAAATATCAGCATTTTGTATTCGAAGCGGCTCGACCTGGAATTGTCAAGGCTCAGCTGGTTGCTAATGGTTCGTATACTGAATTTAATTTATTGAAAACCAGAAAAGCAAGCGTTTCTGATATTACCAAAGAGATTAAATCTTTTTCTATTTT